AGGTTGGATAAGAAAAAGTACAGTCCAGCAAAAACTTCGCACCACGGCCTTGCTGGCGTTGCAGTCAAGAGGGAAGCTATCGTCAAGAGGAAACACCATACTTTGCAAAAAAATATATAGGCCTATTTTTTGTTTTGGTCAGAGAGGTTCTGCCTGTGGCTAAGTTGTAGCCAATAGTTTAATGCATAAAATAGCCTGTATTTTTTAATTTTTTACAAACAATGTTTCTGTAGATTGCTTAAACAGGTAGGGCAATTTAGCATTTTGCAACGTGTAGAAAGAAACTACAATCGTACGCGTGCCGTATGGACTAATGTGTAATTACCTAAGGACAAAATAAAAATTAATTTATCTTTTACTGACTTAAAAAAAAACTGCAAAATCGGCATGTAAACTGCGAACTCAATTAGGCCTTTTACCATCACTAACTTTAACAACAAAACCAAGATACCAGAAAACGCCAAATAAAATTTTAACACAAATCACTAATTTCACTAATTAATTCTGGATTCAATATTAAATGGAAAACTCCTGCTTTGTTTTTATTTCAAAAACATTATAATGAGATGATATATTCTAAACGTTTCTGTAAACATTTGACGCTTACTTTAGTGTTTAATCAATATTTTGTTTAAAGTGGAATGACCTCAACGGCTACTCTGGAACTAACCTGAGAATTAATGTTGGATTGGGAAATGTTAAAATTAAGATTATAAAAAAGAAACCATGTTGACTTGAGCAATAAAAACAATGTAATGAAAAAGTAAACAGAAAGAAATAATAACATATGATAAATAAATATACACATGTTAAATGCAGATCAAGGGGGAAAAGTCTCCAACAATTAAACTAAAAAAGTTCGTAAAGACAATATATTTTTTCACTAAAGCAATTACTATGACAAGTTCCAGTGAGCGGGATTTATTAATTTTGTTTGGAGAAGGTTTTAACTAGGTACATTCTGTTTCTCAAAGGGAAAAGGGGTTAAAATCATATAGACTAGCATGCATAGTATGAATAAAGTACAGGGAAAACCTATAACAGTAATATTTTGAGGTAGTTTCCTTTTCTTTATATGCTTGTCAATGCTGGAGAAACGTAATTTCGTGATTGGTTTCGACAAATGGGTAATCAAACCCTAACCATGCACTGCAGTGGCAAAAATGTTAGACGTGAGCCGTTGATTAGCTTTTAGCGAATTTCCCATATAGGGAATAAGCTATTACCGTAGTACTCATGGTAAGACCTGGACGCGGGACCGATTTTTTTTTCGTTTCGAGGTCCCTAGAGGCCAAAAACACCATCCGTTCAAATTCATATATATATATATATATATATATATATATATATATATATGTGTGTGTGTGTGTGTGTCCGTTAGCACGATAACTCAAGCAAAAATGATCCGATTTTGATGAAATTCGGTACAAACGTGTAAACCTACGTTTATTCGAACGAGTTCGCGATCCAGCATGATCGGACCATGGAAACGGGGGTTTACGGGGGGTTTTATGGGGTAAAATAGGTTTTTCGCATTTTTGACCCAAAAAACATAAAATTTAGCAATTTCTTTCCAAACCATTTTGTAGAGCTTAAAAAAACAAATAATTTAGTATATTGAAGCGTTATTATGCGCCTAATGGTTACGGAGAAAATTCCAAAAAAATGTAAATTTAAAATTCCCATGTTATTCTTATGGAGAATAAGTAAACTGTTGTAGTTTGCTTGTTTATGAACATATTTTGATCAAATTAGAAAAATGTTTTTATTTCTTACAAACTATTAACATAAAAAAAACAGTTTTACCTCCCTGATGCAGCAAACCTAAGTACTTGTTAAACTAATTCTATTTAAATCGGGAATAAATGTTATATTTTTAAGTAGACATTTCAGTGTAAATCAAATCAGTCAAATGGAAATTCGCTTAGTCTGCAGGTTTGCTGCGGCGGGGGTATTTCAAATATAGATGAATATAAACTCGTTAAATGTTTTAAAATAAAATCATAATATATCCATTGAATATAACATGTAATACTATCTAACAACTAAATGGCTAAAGAGGATGAAGAAGCAAATAAATAGGTATTGTAATGTGGTCTCAACCATGGTCTCAACTATGAACCCGCTGAACGTTTTAAATAGGCCTATTTCGATAGAATGTAAAGTCAACCGCACTTTTAGCAGGAATTCCACCACATAAACTTAGAATAAGAGTAGTTTCTATTTTTGTTTATATTATTTTGACCAGAACCAAATCTAGGGTAAAGTTTAGTCAAAGGGATGCATTTACACTAATTTAGTTTACCTTAACGAAAGGAGAATAAAAGTAGAAATAATAACTGGGCCAGGTCGCTAATTCAGTGGGTTTTACCAAGAACTTAAATTATCTCCACATCTTTATATGCCTTTTCATATTTCACGAAGACAATTTCCGAAATTACAATCGGGGAAGCATTTATATCAAAGAATTTTGTTAACTATAGACTACCGGTAAGCATTAAAATGCACAAACATACGCCTGTAAATTAAGTTACCATTCTTCGCAATGTAATGACATATTTGATGTAATACAGTATAATGATAATTAAATGCTAGAAACTCAGTTTCTATATCCCGTAAACTGATGCTGAGCCGGCCAAACTCCTAGCGCCAATGCCAAGCGATTTTATGCCTATTTTTAATCGCTTAAAAATTATACAAGCAGGCTCCGTATCAAAAAAAGCTTCAAATAAAAAATAAAATTCATACTTTGATCTAAAACTTTGCCGCAGGAATTTTTTCCCTGACCAAAAAATAAAAAAGTTCCTCGCTTACTACATTTTTCATGTTTTTTATGGTGTTAAAAAACAATCATCTGTTTTAATTTGCCTAAATAAATTATAAAAATTATGTTAAGGTAAAAACTAGCTACATAGTAATGAGCACTGGTTTTTCCAGAAAAATAATATATCAATTTGAAATTTGTATGTTAACAAATAAGTGTAGCAGAGCAGGTTGAGTGAATGTATGTTTGTGTAAAACAGAGAGGTTCATTCGGCCCGTCCGCCTCGGTATCCCGCCAATTCGATTGACTTATGGCAGAGACTGTACCGTTGGAGCTTATGAAACTTGGAGGTTATGAACCGCTCTGTTTATTTGATATTTAAAAGTTGGAGTTTGTGAAATTTGGACATTGTGAAACTGTGCTTATTTGAAAGTTATAGTTTTGGAGTTTATGAAGTTTGGAGGTTATGAAACACACTGTTTATTTAATATTTTAGACGTTGGACTTTGTGAAATTTGGACATTATGAACCTCACCCGGAACGTTGTATCGCGCGTCAGCCTGTTGTGCCAGTTCTCGAGTTTATTTTGGCGCGAACCGTTTTCAGCTCCGGTTTTTCACTTCGGCACGGGACCGTGGTATTCTCGTACTTTTGTGTGGTGTGTGTAAATGTGGTGGGTGGGGTTGTAAATAGTTTTTGAATAGTTTTGAAATTTTACTATAATCGTCTTCTCTGTAAGAACAGTGTTTTTATAAATAATAATAACTCTTTTTTGACATTGTGTGTGAACTATTTTTTTGCATTGACGATCGTTCTAAATGACACTTGGACGGATTGTATATAATATTCTGTGGTTATTATTCCAATAATTACCAACTTTTGTGTCAAGAAACAAGTTTGTGGGTCGTTAGACACAAATATGACAGTAAACGGACTACTTCTTCCTCGCGGTGACTTAGCCAACCGGCCCCACCGGCGGACTACATCAATTGACGTACCGGAAGTAACGTCACCAATAATGACCAAAATGGAGGCCTGGGGATCTTCTATTGACATTTTGGATGCATTCACATCATTTACTTGGGGAGTTATCAATAATCATATTTCAGCACTTTAAGCACGCAATACTAACCCATTTCAGCACTCAACGTGACAGTACCATTTGCATTATAGTTCGCCGATTATGTTTTTCAATTTAATTACAGTTTGTGACTTGGCTATACACCAAGCAATTTGCAAAGTGCAGTTTTAATGAACGAACAAATTATAATTACTTCCCCTTAATTAATAATAAATTAACCATTAATAATTGGTTCCCCACACTACCGCCTCTAGGGAAGGTTTAGTTAATGACCTAATATTAACACGCATGTAAGTGATTATCAGTAGGTCAGAACGGTAAAATAGTGGTTACTTGCAGTTTGGATAATGTTATGTACTGAACCGGTCAATGCAGTTTTATGTCACCTCTATAGATATTTATTTTGTATAAACCTCCAAATACAGTTAACATTTACTCACATGTTGCACATTTTGATTTGTTTAATGGAAGTAAATTTAATTACCTATAGCGAAACTATTGTTTTCTATACTTTACCCTAATTAGAGTAAAACTTTTCTTCTTTCACAAATAAAACCACGCTCATAAAAGTGACTGCGTGATAAATCTCAGCAATTTATATAAATTGGGGTTTTTTTGGGGAAAATTTTTGTATTTTTATCTATTTTATTTTTAGAACTAGATTGGTATGGATTAAAACTTACTTACTGTATGGTTTTTAATTTTTTTTTAGATTTGACACATTGTTCTATACCTAATAAATCCGACCCAAAAAAAAACAAAAAAAAACGTTTGGTATGGATTATAACCTCCCTTCTGTATTTCATTGTGATACAAGTTTAATAAAATATTTAATATTTAACATTGTGCTTTTGGACTTGAATTAAATCCCACCTCTGTAGCAAGTACCGTAAGTTACTACTTTTAAAACCCAGAAGGGTTAAAGGTATTCAATACAGAATGAATGACAGATGAGCGGGCATTTAACAGATAAGAGGACATAACGCCCTCTCGCATATCATGTTTGGTTTAGGCTAAGTCTTGTGTTGTGTCGTTACTACTGCGGCCTTCTTATAATTTCTCTAAATCTTATCATTGTATTTATCTTTCTTATCTTCTTACTCTAACGTGGAATCATTTCCCTGTATTTTTAACATATTTTTTGTTTATTATCAGGTAACTATCGATGGGAAACAGAAATGCCTTGCTGCACTGGTCTGCCGAGGCCCTTGTGTAAGTTTTATTTGTTTTATGTTTTGTGTTACATATTTTATTTTGGTTTTGTTGGTTTACATATTGTATTGTTTTATCGGTATTTCAAGTGCTATAACGTAGAAAAATTATTATTTCCGGTAGTTTACCTTAGTAAATTTAAGTAAATAATTTTAATTGTTGGGACTTGTTTAAGGTTTTTTGTATATTTTATTTACTAAACGGTGTTTTGCTAACGGAAAAAGAATATACTCAAGAATAACGTTACACTGCGGGTACTGTAGTTAGAAGAAGAAATGAAAGAAGAGTGCTATAGTTTGAGAGACCTTATTTGTTGTACAACTGTTGTAATAAATCAGGAATTTGAATTCAACCTCTTTCTCGTAGAAACGATCTTAAGAAGGCGTTTAAAAGAGAAATGCTGTACTTTAAGTTTTAACTCGCACACGTCGTACATTATATCAATTTGAGTAATGTAATATCAAATAGAACTACATTAGCTTTCGACGGATTCAATTGGTAGCAGCATAGGGTTTATAAGAGCTTGTAGTGCAATTTTGAGAAGAGACTTTATTGCTAACCACTTTGATCCCGCGTACGTAGATCGGTAGATCAGTCTGAGGAGGCGAGTGTGAAGCCAATAAGTATCACTACATGCATCATTGAATTTAGCATCACAGGGTTTATAGCCTAGTGGATAGATGGTGGATAGTCAATGGCGACACGTTGTGTAAATTTGAGGAGGGTCTGCGAGTGTGAACCACATTATCTCATGCTACACGCTTGACCTTGAAGCTGCGACCTCTCCCGCGCCCGCGCGTGCTACGTGCTACTCTCCAGCTTCCGCATCCGCTCTCTGTACCTACCATCACTCATCACTCCCATACTTCCTCCCTCGTGCTGGGGAACGGGGTTCATCCCAGGTTCGGTATATGTATTTAAGATACTTCATTCACAATAATTATTCTCTATATTTGCTCGATATGTATTGCAAATAGAATTTAGATTTTTTTATGAATTGCAAATAATTTTCTTTACAGCCATAGACATCTGACTATACTTAAACAATGGAATTTTTTTAAGTCAGTTTTGTAAATATAGACAATTTTACCGTTCTAGGTAATCATTTGTTTAAAAGAACACATACTTGAAAGGCAAACGATAATGGGCGGGATCATCGACGAAACCGCAAGGTTACAAAAAGTCGTATATTTCGAACCACGTGAGGTCCATAAGAACCTTATGGTACAAAAACGTGTAACGTCCACCCCATGTAACGTGCAAATAGGTTGTTTTCATGTCAACCTATACCATTCTACATCTATAAACAAATTAGACTCCAAATAACCATTTTTTCGCCCAAACGAATCACACTTTTAAAGTAAAATTCTATCTGCAATCACATAACAGCTATTCTGTAGTTGGGCATTATTATACATGTTCCTATTACCGAGCTATGTGCCAATAACTCAATTTCCAATAAATTAGAACACATCAATAACTGATGATTTTTGTAGGAAGGTTGCTTGGACTGTTGACACTAAACAGTCTTCTAAAACAATGACGTCAGCAACTGAGACAAGGCTCGGGTTTCGGAGAACCTCACGTCAACAGTGTTTGTATTATAAACTTGAGAATACTCATACGACATCCAGCTCACAACTTATAGTTCAAAGTTAACAAAGTAAAAATGCTCAAGGCTGAAATGGCAAACTTAACATTGCAAAACCAGCACTGTAACCACTATGATACCCAGTTTTTCCCTCTTTGTAGCAAATATGTTGTAGGAGAAGATCCTATTTTACCTAGAACCAACGTGAGAATAACTCTATGATAGCATAAAGCGCTAACGGCCCCCAGCACGTAATGGGTGTGAATAAATTTGTCGGCAGCGTGCGAGGCGCCGCCCAATCAAATTACTCTTTTGAGTGAAATTAATCACGCCACTTTGAGGCCCCGCTTTGTTATTTTTCACTTTTAACACATTTAATAGCCTACAATAGATTATGAGGACCTGTTGATGTAAAACATTGAAATTACTGTGTTTATTTTATCTGCAGTCAATATTGTCAGTTCTTGGAAAATATTTGTTTTTCTATTCCTATGTTTCCTTATTGTGAAACTTAGTATGAAAGTGCTTTGCTTAGTTTCATTATAGGTAAAACATACTTTAGTCTGTGGTTTCATTTAACATACATCCAAATTTTTTGAAGAACTTTGGCTAAATTCTATTATTTATATAAAACAATTTATTAGCGAATTTCCCTATAGGGAAGTAGCTATTACCGTAGGTGGCACGGTAAGACCTAGACCCGGGACCGATTTACTTTTTCATTTTGATGTCCCCAGAGGCCAAAAACACTATTCGTTCAAATTTTTATATATGTATATATATATATATATATATAGACTTATATATATATACGTCCGTGAACGCGATAACTTGAGTAATTTTTGTCCGATTTTGATGAAATTTGGTTTAAAGGTGTAAAGCGGGATAAACTTGAATGAGTTCGCGAACCAGCACGATCGGACCATGGGAACGGGGCTTTACGGGGGGTTTTATGGGGTAAAAATTGAATTTTCTCACTTTTGACCCTCAAAACACAAAATTTCCCAATTTCTCTTTAAACCTTTTTAAAGAGCTTAAAAAAACAAATAATTTAGTATATAAAAGTATTTTTGTTTGATTATTAGTAACGGAGAAAATTAAAAAAATTGTAAATTTAAAATTCCCATGTTATTCTTATGGAGAATATTGTCAAATGTTGTAGTTTGCTTGTTTATGAATATATTTTGATCAAACTTGGCAAATTTATTTATTTTGTACTAAGCTATCAATATTTTACTCAAAAACACACTTTATTAGTTTCCTTGTATCAGCAAACCTAGGTACTCGTTAAACCTAATGTTATCTTACTAATATTATAAATGTGAAAGTTTGTGTGTTTGTTTGTTTGTTTGTTTGTTTGAAGTTCAATCACGCATAAACCACTGGACGGATTGGGCTGAAAATTGGCATGATGATAGCTTACATTCCCGATTAACATATAGGCATATTCTTATCTCAAAAATCCTTTCGGGCTCTGCCCCAGTGGATCTGTAATTCCCCATGTTAACCTTATGAGTATTCATATTTAAAGGGAATTAAAGAATTTAGTCAGCTGTTTCAACTAAAAAAATTTGGTTCTATGATATGGAAAAGCATTAAAAAGTTATAAGATTTACCAACAGGGTGCAGCACTATATTTTTTTGCATTTATGAAAACAGCTAATTTGAACTAAGTAGCAACAAAAAACTGTGATTCGCAATGAGAACTGTCAAAGTAGGATTGTTTACAGTTATGTTTATGTTTTTCATTTCATGAATAATTTGTGATATTTTGCGAATTGTTGATAATTTATTTTTCTCTATTGTTTAGGTGAAGTGGTAGAACATTATGGCTATGGTAGATGTGTAATACTATAGAATACTGTAAATTTAAAAAAGCAAATTTTATCAAACTGTGTCCTCCCTTATTGCAAACGCAAAGCTTGAGTATAACTGCAATAAGCATTTTATACTTATATTCCAACCCCGTACGAAGGACGGGTACTCTGCTAGTTAAAATATATTTAACTGAAAATCAATTCAGACAAATGGAAATTCGCTTAGTCGGCAGGTTTGCTGCGGCGGGGGTATTTTTATAATAGTTTTGAATTTCAAAGGGAAACTGTAAACCTGTACCTTGCGATGGGATTTAAAGCCCATTTATCAAGACAATTTGGACGCAGTTTAAACAATCGCAAAGCTACAGTCTTTTCTCAATATCAAACCGACATCTTTCTCATCAACTAGGTGGTCACTATTTTCACTCAACTAATTACTTTAAGTATAAAGTTTGTAATGACTTTGGATGATTTTCCTTATTTTATAGGTTGGTATTGTTTGTATAAACTGTCCATATTATCCACCTCTTTCTTTAAACTGTGATATTATACATCAATAATTGAATGACTATTTTTAACTGTCTAAATCAAATCAATCTCAACATTCTTGGTCTCCCGGCGAATGACCAAATCAATCTCGTGACAATGGTATTCAACTAACGAAAACTTATGCAAACGTAAAAAAAATAATGTTACATACAATAAAATAATAAGAATGAAATTAAATTTATTCACAAACCAACCCTCCCTAACCACACTAACTACTGGTCCATTACGCACAATAACACCCTAATATACCTGAGTATTAGTTTCAACTTGCACAATGCAAGTGGGACAATGGAAATGGAAGACTGTTGACAATAACTGGGGAGGATTGTTAGTTGGCGGAAGTAGATTAGAGTGAGATGTTATCTCCATTTCCGGTACTGCTGCCTCCAACACCGCTATTATCATATTACACACCTCACGTAGGCCTAATAACTACAACACCTTTGCTTCACCTTTGCCCACAACGTCGTGTGTAATTGTTACATCTAAACGTTTGAGTTGTTTGTAACTGTTATTATTTGTAACAGTTTTTATGTAACAGTTTCTTGTAACCGTTACAATTTGTATCAGTTTTTGTAGGACTTATTATCTACATCTTTGCTCAAAAAATAGTATGCAATTGTCACATGTAAACATTATAGTTTGGTTTGTTGTCGGTATCAGATGCTTGTAACTGTTATTTGTAACTGTTGTTTGTATGCCAAAAACTATAACCATTGACTATATATTATTAAACACATTTATAGTGAATGCTATACCCATAGATTAGAGGAGTAGACAACTCCTTTAATCTATGCTATTACAACTTCAGCCTTGCTCAAACATCGTATGTAATAATTGTTACAAGTACGTATTACAGTTAGGGCTGTTGTCGGTAACTGGTGCTTGTAACTGTATTTGTAACCTGTTCTTTGTGTGTCTAGTAACTGATACATTTGCTTAGCTCTCGCTCGCAACATTGTATGCATTTGTTGCCTGTAGTTATGGTTGTTTGTTGCAGTTGTCTGTAACTGTTACTTATAATAACAGTGTCAATTTTAACC